GAGAAAGCCTCTTTTTGTGCTCCTTTGCTCCCTGCACTGAAGTGCCAGGTGCAGAACTAGGTTCCCAGGGGAACTGAGACATCATTTTCCATCAAAGTCTATTTATTTCAGCTGTAGAGTATTCCAGATTGGAGATATTTCTTCTACCAGTGTCTTGATACTCCCTTGGGAAGTCACCCCGCGTGAGTGATGGGCAGTAAGTTCTGCTTCTCCCTTCAGGAGGAAGACTATAATCCATATTGGGCCAGTTAGCATCACAGGAATGATGTGCCCCCATCTGGGCCAATGAATGTCATCTCTTCGACTTTTGCTGGTTGCTAAGCTAACGGTAACCCAGGCCTCTTCTTGCCCTTGTGTCTACCATCTGTGAGCCTGGAACATTCCAGGAGCCACTTGCATCATTTGCAGCCATCTTCTCCAGAGAGTACTCTGGGACTTGGTTTCATCTTACGATCTGAATCTACATTTTCCCCATGTTAAGGATACTTTCCAATTGCTGGCTCACAGAGAGCATTACGTTTTGCTTTTATCAGGTTGGTTTTAGGTTTCTTTAAAATAAATCTTGTTACTTCTCTTATATGGTAACCGGCACATTGCCTTGTAATTATCTTTGTACTTATGTGCCTCTGGAGTGGACTCCTTACAGATAAACAATACTAATTACCCATCTGGCTGGCATCTGGCTGGCATTTATAAATATTTGCTGAGTCACTAACTACATAAACAGCTGATCTTGCATTCACTTTTTCTGGATGGTTCCAAAGACTGCAGTGCTTTTCGATGTACAGAGTTTTTATAAGACCTTGTGATAGATTAAATTATCATTCAGTAAATATTGACTTTCCCCACCAGGATTCCACAAAAATAGTTTATTTCTCCTCCCTTGATTTCTGCTCTGGTTACTTCCTTTGGCCAATGGGATGTCAGAGGATGAGATGAGCAGAGGCTTGGCAGTGCCTGAGTGGTTGAGCCTGTTACCTCATACTCCTGCTCATCTCCACAAGAAGAGCCTGCCTCAGGCAGATGCTGGTTCAAGAAGGATGAGAGACAAGTGCAGCAGATCTGAACCCAACCAACAGCTTGGAGCCTAGTCCAGCCTGGATAGACTGTACTCCAGCTCACCTACAGCTTATTGTTGTCTGCTCCTGAGATTTGAGTGGTTTGTGATGCAATTTTATTGTGACAATAGCCTACTGAAACACATCTGCATCAGAACAATGTGAGTGCTTCTTATGAATGAGATTTCTGAGCTCCACCTTAGACCTAATAACTGATAATCTCTAGGATGTTCTTTTAGAAGTCTGTAGTTTACCAGGATCTCCAGGAGATTCTTATACTTACTCCTGGGTACAGCATTTATCACTATGCTATTTTCATCGACGTGGAAAGAGCAGTAGGTTAGCACCCAGAGAGCTGCTGCATTTACCTACAAAAATCTGTTCCGAGAAATTTGGGGCTGTCAAGAAGCCAGGAAACAAAATTTCCTCACTGAGTCATTTAATTAAAGAGGTGGGAATTCAGAAGTTTAAAGGCTTCTTGAGGTGATTTATAAACATGGCACTTCTCAAAAAGCTATCCTTTCACACAGGTGCCCAGTTAATACCTCCTGTTTAAATCTGAATAAGTTAAAACTAATTGGCCTGTAGAACATTAATGACAACACAATATTGAGTAAACATGTACTTAGTAAGCTCTTAACTAAAAACATCAGGCATTCTGGAGGACAATGGAAAACTCAAATATGCAAAGAGCTTCCAGCTAGTCAGGCATATACCCTCCATGTACAGAGACGGGTGTTTGGGAGTTTTCAGAAAAATAAGGGACACAGTTCTTGCCTTCCAAATGCTCTCTTGGGATGACTTCTATCATTTCTGCAGGCACCCAATCACGTTTCTCCCCATCTGCTCTCTTTGGAACCCACCTTGGTTCCTTTCTCAGGGAGAGTATTCCTTTTAGGTGCAAGACACTCTCTCTCCTCCACCTTGAATTCACCTCAGTGTTCTTACCCCAGGTTTCTTCTCCAGTGTACTACTATCCTGCCTGGAAATTCCACCACTCAGCAACTATGCGGATGACCAAGCTCCTGCACTCAGGTTCTACCATCAGCATCCCAGTCCTACCTGGCCCAGAGCATTAATCATAAACAAGAAATTTCATAATGGAACTTTCAGATCTCGAAATCCATGGCTTGAGAAAGTATCTTTCAGTAGTAGATAGAACAAGAATATTGAAATCTGCAGGGGAGTCTCCGTCTGTGATTAATATGCTGCAGACCAAGTATTGATTTGTGTTGTTTGCTCATCTGTTAACCTTGGGGAATGAGTTACTCAAGTCACCTTTGGTTTCTGACAACACAGGGCACACAATGTACTTCTTCTTCTCCTAACAATATAGCGTCATGTACCTAGGAAATTGTCCTGTGCCTCTCCTTGTATTACTCATCCTAACAGGGTTTTGCCCTGTGAGACTTAACTTTCAAAAAGGACAGCTGGGCTCATATCATGATATCATCCTTACCTTATATGGACAATTCTAATGGTATCAAACTTGGTGAAATGCAAGCATTTCTAAAAAAAAATTGTGCATTTGATGTGTAGTTTTCTACACGGAGTTGCCCTCAAAATATTTAACAACCCTTACGTAGGGGAACAGAAACAGCAGGCTTGTGGGCTGAATATCTTTCTAATTCTAGTTCTTGGATCAATTGGTATCACTTGGCAGCTCTGTTTTCATTACTGAGAAGTCCCATGACTGAGCATTCAGGAACTGCCAACAATTATCCAAATGGCACAGCTTAGGGGAACTCACATTCCCTGCTGGATCTGCTCCTGGGTGATGGCCTGGAATTTGAACCACCACTGCCATTTGTTCTCTGAGGCAGATGCTATTAGTATCCCACCCAGATCCTCCTTTTCTAGGCTGGAGCTCCTGCCCGGCTCCATTTGCTGCAGGTGTTGGCTGCTCAAAGCAGTGCACAGCTGCCTCGTTGGGCACCTGCCCTCTGCCAATGAGGATGTCCTTAAGCAGAGAAGCCAGTGAGGTTATTACCCAATGGGAGGGTGGTCTGTAACCCATGACTGACAGAACACACCGGGGTACAATCCATTCTCCAGAGTTCCCAATGAGAGAAGGCTGAGGCCAGACTTCTCCTGAAACATCTTTTCCTAATAATTTCCCTTCCCTGGTTCTGCTTCCCTCACTCCCTTACGGGTTCTTCCTGAGTTACTCTCTCACTCTGACAACACATTGCTTACACAAGAATCCCAGTTTCAGGTTTTGCTCCCAAGTAGCCTGTCCTAAGACACCTTTCCAAATAGTGTGAGAGAAATCTTCCCTCATGATATTTTGCTATTGAGAACAAGGTGGCTGAGGACCAAACACTGGTTCAGATGCACCTAAACTCTTCGGATGCACTTAAACACCACTGAAATACAAGAGGCTGCCAATTGGTCAGATGCAGTGAACAACAGACATTGACCTGGATACACTGTTCACAGACAGACATCTTCATTTGAATTTTAATGGAACTATTTTAAAATCCACCTCTGACACCAAGCTGGGAAAGAACGCAAGTCACATGTCATGCACACACGTTTAGGGAATAACAGAGCAACAACAGAATTTTCAGAAACAAGTGATACATAGCTCTATAAACACCCAGTTAGCATAGCACGAACCCCACTCAAGTGTGATTCATCAAAGGCATTTGTCTGTATAGCTGCAAAATAGTTAGAAGATGGTGGAAAACGGCTACTGGGGCTGGAATACCGTTCTCTGAATGAAAGATCAGCCCTTGCCTTTTTGAAACAATTAAGGAAATCATCACTTCCATCTTCTAAAGGCCTTTCTCATTCTCATCCCAGGCATTTTTAATCTCTTTCTTTTATGTTTCAGTTAACGTACCACCTGTTCCCTGGAAGCTGTGCTTTTAGCTGAGCTACTAAAAGCAAGAAAGCATTAATCAAACATTAGCACCTTTTTTGAAGTCAAGTGTAATCTAGAAGTGGCAGACAGTGAGACCTTGACACATAATCACCTCTAACCTTTCCTTGGGAGCACATCTGCCCGGGATATTTATACTCTTCAGCAGCTTCCCTTTATCCCATGGCCAGAATTCTGAGAATTCAGGTATGTTCTCCAGCTCCACTTCAGATACTGAGAGCACATAGAGATTTCCTAATTGCTTACATGTCTCAGAGAAAGGCACGTGTGTGCGCTGTCTTAACAATGTCAAGGTGTTGGTAAAGAACTTCTGCAGGCAGGGAGTTGGCAGGGCCTCTGTATCTGGGCATCACCCCATCACAGATGCTGCTTGGAAACTTCTTCCTCTAGTGGAAGAAATGTCCTTCCTATCGAATGGGAGTCCCTCTTGTGGGCTTGGGATGCTATCTCAAGGGCCATGCTCTGGTCTTCTCTCTCTCCAACATTTCCTCTCCCCTGGGGAATCATATCAGTGTACATGTCAGTTCTAGTATTACTCATCTTAAAACACATACATTTTCCTTCCTTGATCCCAAGTCACCAACTTACTGATTTCACTCCTCCCCTTCCAGCAAAACTGATAGGAAGAGAGGCCAGTACTTAGTGTCTTTACTTCTTCACTCTTCCCTCCAGGGCAGGCTTGCACGCCCACCTCTCCACTGAAACTGCTCTTGCTGAGTCATCAATGACCTCTGTGCTGCTGGCCCTACAAATGATAGGTATATTTCTGTCCTTGTCTCATTTGGCCTCTGAGTAGCATTTCATGCTGCTGAATACTCTCCCCTATTCATAGAGGGTCCCTTCTCCTAACTTCCATGCTGGCAGTGGTGTGCTAGAAAACTGGTCCCAAGGAGGGGAAAACACCCTGATTTGTAGCATTTTCCTTTTTCCATCATGGAAATAAATACTCCCAGAATCAAGCTCCCAGTGGTTTAACAATGGCTCACATACCACTGCTCCCATGAATGAAATCTTAACACCACTTACTCCTAGTTTTTTCCTTCAAAATCTGGCCTTACCTGCTTCTTGCATTTTGCTGGTCCTTCCTTCAGAATCAGAATTCTAAACGTTGATATTCTTTAGGCTTTGGATCTGGGGCCTCTTTTCTTGTCCTTCCTTTCTTCATAGATCTCAACTATCCACATAGCTTTCTTTCCTTTAAAAATTAAAAAAATATTGCATTTATTTTTACAATAGGCAAGAATGTAAAAATAGAAATTATATAAAAATACTTTAAGAAGTTTCTTATCTGTTCCTGTCCCCATCCACCCCCAGCCATGTACCCTTCAGATAAACTTTTATTAGCTCCTTGTGTAGTCTTCCAGAGTTTCCTTATGTATGTGCAAATATCTGCATATGTATGAGTGTATGTGTGAGTGTGTGAATTCTTATTTTCCCCTTTTCTTACAGAAAGACCGTATGAAACACTATTCTGCATCTGGCTTTTTTCACTTTGTTGTATATGCTAGTGCTTTTTCTATTATGAGTTGAGAGATAGCCACGTAATAAATACTATCTATATGCTGACCACTACCTTCTTCTCTGGGTTACAGACTTTCCAACTGTTTACTTGACCCTTGATATCTCCAATGTATCCAACTTACCATGTCCAAAATGAAACACTCGTTTTCACCTCCTGTAGTGGACATTATTTTGTTGGCCCACCCAATCCCTGTGACCAGGTCAAAGCACCCTTTTCCAGCTGCTGTACCTGTTGGCTGCTGATGGCTTACAGCTGCCCTCCTCCTCCAGAGAACTGACTTCAGCCAAAGTGACCCATTTTGCCCTAGAAGTATGCTCACAATCAACCACGCACTGATACTGGGACCACTTATCTTAATAGGGGACAGACAACTCTGCAGGGAGATGTATGAGCACCCAAAGTTCTCCTTTATTCCATTCTTATTACCCCTTCCCTATTCTGCTTCTCTCACTCCTTTCATGCTTTTCCTGAAGAGCAATTCTTCTAATATATAAAGATCTCCTACAAGTCAATAAATTCACAAACCCAATAGTAAAATGGACAAAGTATGTAACAGATTGATTACAGAAAATGTGATACAAATGGCTCTTGAAACTGGAAAATACACTTAATATCATTTCCAATAGAAGCACTATCAATAAAATTATATTAAGAACAATTATTTTTAGTTATCACATTGACAATGATTAATAAGTTTAAGACATATTGTTATGACAACAGTATGGGGAAAAAGGCATCCTCAGGTATTCTTGGAGGGAGTGTAAGTTGGTGCAACACTGTGGATGGCATTTGATGGTGCAATCAAAATTGACACCCATCTACACTGTGAGTCAGCAATGTTACTTCTGGTTGTTCATAGCAGCAAAAGACTGAACCAACTTCAATGTCTATAAGTTGGGACTAGTGATATGAATTATAATACTTCCATATAATAGAATACAGTCAATAAAAAAGGAGAATATGCTTTGTGTTCTAAAATGGGTTGACTGCTAAGATGAACTGCTAGATAAAAAAAGCAAGATAAGGTATAATGTATGTATTATTCTATGGATTTTTCAAGTGGCATAAAATATATATTTGTACATGCATTAAGTATCTCTGGAAGGATACACAGGTGTGGTATAATAAAATACAGTTATTTGGTCTTTGCCTCAATTCTGGCACAGAGCTCCTAAAACCTTTGGATATTCCTGAGTAATGGAAGTGTCTTCTATTATTCGTAACATGCCCCTACAAACATATCTGAGTTTATGAAGTGACTCGGGATGGGTTCCCTAGATAGTTTCGAATAGGGGCTGGTCTACAGAAAGACAAAGCAATTAACTAGAGGGTTGGAATTTTCAGCCCTGCCTTTATGAAAGGGAGTGGGGCTGGAGATTGAGTTCAATTACCAATGGGCAGCGATTTAATCTATCATGCCCATGTAATGAAAATTCCATAGTCTCTTGAACAGTAAGGCTTGGAGAGCTTCCAGGTTGAAGTACACACCGATGTGCTGAGAGGGCAGTGCACCCAGAGGGCATGAAAGCTCTTTGCACAGCCCCCAACCTGCCCCCTGCCCTATGCACTTCTTCCAATCGGCTATCCAAGAGTTAAATCCTTTCTAATAAACCAGTAATCATAAGCAAAGTACTTTCCTGAATTCTGTGAGTCATTCTAGTGAATTATCAAACCTGAAAGGGGGACTGGGGACCTCTGAATCTGCAGCCAAATCAGACAGAAGTGAAGGGCCCTGTGGTGACCATCCATCTGTGGTTTTATACTGTCTGTACCCACCAGATTCTCCAGGGGGAAAGGTAATTGTGGTGATGACAACAATGACAAAAATTAGAAAATTATAATGACCAGGTTGCTAATCACTATTAAAAATTCTGGTGTGGCTGTTATAGCCCTTCCGCAGCTGCCCTGCTCCAGCAGTAAATATCTGCATTTTGCAGAGCAGAATACAAAGTTAACTACAACCTGGCCAGCTTGTTTAGAAAATTAATTAATTCACTTCTCTACAGCTTTAGTTTTGTTTCCTGGAAAATAGACTGAGGCAAGTTAAGAGATAATTCTGTATCTACCATTTGCAAGCTGGAGACCAGGAAGGCTGGTAATGTGATTCAGTCTGCGTTTGAAGGCCTGAGGACCAAGGGAATGGATGGTGTAAGTCTCAGTTTTAGTCCAAATGCCTGTTTCAGGAGCTCTGACATCCAAGGGCAGGAAAAGATAGATATTTCAAGGAAAGAGGGTTGATTTGCCATTCCTCTACTTAACAAACCGAGAGAGAGAGAGAGAGAGAGAGAGAGAAGGAGGTAATGCTTTATTGGGAAGTATAATCCCAGGGCAGTGAGAGTGAGGAAAAAGGAATTAAAACAGGTAAGAAGAGCAAGCAAATACTAACTGGCTACTTGTTCACAAGATTGGAAAAGATGCAGGAAAAGATGTGACCACAGGGGATACTTCTAGAGAGTCTGTTCAGAAAATCTGTGCCTTGAAATGGTCCACTGGACATAGGAACAGAGAGAATGTTTACCTGCTGTCTTCCTCCCATCTCCATTTACCCATTGGTTAAATGTCACCTTATAGAGATAACACCTCTGCAATTCCTGGTTGTATCACTTGGTCCCTTTGGCACTTCATTTAAGTTCAGAAATGGTGAGAGGAAGAGAGATATGGAGTGTGGGCGTCACACTAAACAAAGCCAATGTCACAGTGATGAGGGAGGCAGAGCAAGCAGTCACGGTCTGGGAGACAGACGAGGCCATGAGAATCTGAGGAGTGCATACAATGCCTTCATCTAAAAGAAGGATGCTGTGTGGCAACTTACCTGGATATATAAAATATGGAAAACGGATTTAATTAGGAGATTTTTTTTAAAAAAAGAAAGAAAACAAATATAGGGGTATACAATACAGCCAGAAATGAGGACAGTGCAAGACTGCTACACTTACGCACTTCTCATGCTCCAAGCTTTCCAGCAGCCATCACCAGAAGGAAAGCCTGATCAGGTCTACTGTTTATGGGGTTCATTCATAAACGTGCAGAGATTTAGAACCTGGGCTTTTGGGTCAGAGTTGCATTTAAGGGCTCAGTCACTGTGAGCAACAACTCGCAACGTCTCAACTCTCCATGGGGAAAATCATGGTACCTGTATCAGCAAGTTGTTGTGAAGATTAAGTAAGGTAAGAGATGTAAAGAACCTGAAACTGTGCATGGCATATAGAAAGGCTCAGTAAACACTGGTCAGGAGAAGTACAACTCTAGTTAATACCACCTTCCTTATAAAGGTCCTCTATAAAGATTCTGGGATAAAAGTCAGCAAAATATCCATTCATCAGTTAAAACAACGAACTCCAAAAGCATGTTGTTATCAGTGACCCTGAACCAAGACCGACAGCATCACCCTAATGTGCAGCTCAGGCAACACATTTCTGTGGTGACCCAGTCTGTACCAGCCCAAGCACACAGTGCCCTGCAGCTTATGCCTCATCTGTAGCTGGAGTGGGCTGTCTGACTTGGGGTACATGGACAGACTCAGGGAATATGAACACCCCAAAGCTGTAAACAACAGCTTGAGCATGTGGACAGAGACTTTACAGTAGTGTTGTCCAATAGAAATATTAAGAATATAATTCTAATGACATTTATAATGTTCAAATTGTCAAAAATTTGTAACTTTTCAGTAACCACATTTTAAAAAGAAATAGGTGAAATTACTTTTACTTACCCAATATACCCCAGTATTATTTCGACATGTAATAAATATAACATACTACAGAGAGATCATTTACATTCTTTTCTTCATAACATGTTTTCAGAATCTGGTGTGTGTTATACATGTGCAGCCCATCACAATCAGGATGAGACACATTTCAAGTGCTCAAAAGCCATGCAAGTCTGCTGCACTGGGCAGCTCAGGGCTGTAACTTTTATCACACTTATTAAGAACCAATGATGAGGATGGACGGACTTCATGAAATTCTATGTATTATTGCTTTTTTATTAACTGAATCCTCATTTTTTTTAAACTGAAATTCTATATGAAAACAGAATTATCTAGTTCTACAGGTACATAATTATGGTTGACATTAAACAATGAACTATAAGCATGAACTTGGTTAGACCATTCAAACTGTAGAGAAATTGTTAACAGTCCTGTTTACTCCCCCCAAATATCATCTGTGTCTACATAAACACTGATATTATGTATTTACATGAAGAGGATCATTATACTGTTCATCCTGTCCTGAACATTGGTTTTTCAGTTAATAACATATCTTAGAGGATTTTCCATGTTAGAATATGATACCCACTTCATGTTTGTTCCAGTTATATGGTATTTGATTATAGCAACGTACAAGAATGTATTTAACCAATCCCCTTTGGATAGTCCTATAAGCTGTTTCCACCTTTTTTCCCTCTTTTATTTGGCTGTTACAGACACTCTTGCAATGATTGTGCTTGTTCACAACCTTGTTCATGTCCTTATTTAGCTGGTGTACAAACTTTTGCAAGGAGTTCCTAGATATACACTTAAAATTTTGATCAGTTTGCCAAATTTCTCCAAAAAAAGTTACTCGTTTATATTCTCAAAAAATGTAATATCTGTCCCTATGCCCTAACCAATTATTGAGTTATATACATTTTTTTCACTTTGCAAATCTAAGTAAAAGTGATATCTCAGCTTT